TAAGTAAGCACACAAGACATTTAAGGCAGTGAAAATTTACTATATGGCATTCTTTTGTGCAGACTTGTTATATGTATGTCAAAACCTATAGTATGTACAATACTAAGAGTGAACCTTAAACTATGGACTTTGGGTCACAAGACAGTATAGTTCAAAGTTTACCATGCTAGTGGGAGATGTAACTAGTGGCAGAGGTTATACCTGTGTGGCAATGGGAAGAATATAGGAACTCTGTTGTTTCTATTTAATCTTGCTGTGAAAATAAAACTGCTATAAGAATAAAGCATAATAATTTTAAAGAGTAATTCCAGGTGAATTACTCTTAAGAGTAATTAAGTCACTGTTAAAAAGTAAAAAACTGGAAGAGAATACAGGTGATTATTTTTCTAAGTTAAAAAAAAAGTCAATGTAAAAGGTTGCATGATTCTAGCTATATGACATTTTGGAAAAGGCAAGGGACTCCAGAAAAGCAAGTATAAAGGAATATATATGTATCTTGATGTCTGTGTCATTTTGTCAGGTATTTATTAAAAGGCAAAGATATTTTATGAATAACCTTGATATCTAGAAATATATACATGGGAAAATAGCATAGGTATAGTCAAATACTTAAAATGCTAGTAGATTTTTGAGGAAAATGTCACATTTATATGTTACAGTAAAATAAGATTTTTAAATTGTATGTAACATTTGTTCAGATATTTGGACACTTGTTTTATACAACATAATATCTAAAAAACACAAAAACCTGGACCCATCATCAGAAGTTTAAAAAACCAGCCTGTATATTATGCACTGCGTTCTTAAAGGAGTTCTCTGTTCTCTGAACTGTTCTGCTGTTCCCCCCACTATTGCGTTACTCATTCCTTTGCATTAAGACAAGTTTTACACATACATACTTAGCACCAATTAGTGCACTTCCGAATTTTGCATATTTGATTTTTTTCCCGATTCCTCTGTTTTTTGTTTGTGCTGAAGTGGTGTAGGAAAGAAGGAATATTTTTAAAAGCTGAGAAGCTGCAGTAAATCTAGATTTGCACAGAGAAAGAATATTGGTGTCACCTGGGGATTTATTAGACTTACTTGTAGACTTTTTACTAATTTTTAAACTACAGACCTCTTGAGAATCACTTTCCAAGAAGCTGTTTTTATTGAAAGGAAGCTGTAAGAAAGGATTGAGGATTGCATTAATAATTTCTACATGTCTTTTGATCTGTTTGATGGTTTAATCTTTGATAAAACATAAATGAAGACTCACTCCAGGGATTTGGTATTTACATGACATAGTTGGGAAAATTGAATTTAATAATTTGGTACTGAAAGTGTAGTGTGTTTTAAACTGTTAGGCACCTTGAAAGACGTTAGATGTACACATACAGAGACATATCCTTCCTTACTTGCATTAAAGAATTCTTTTGAGGAATTTCTAATTATTTGTACAAGGAGTAAATTTATAAGAGACATATAAGCAAATTATAGTTAGCATACAAAATTAAGTTTAATTTAGTTTGATTCCAGGGGAAAGTTCATCTGAGTAGATTGTACTTGAGTAAGTCCTGGAAAAGATGGGGGAATTTTAAGTCATTAACAAAGAGGCAGGATAGAATGTTTGAGGCAGAGAATTGCCAAAAGGATGTAGAAGCCAGTAGCATGTTTGGGAGTTTTGTGTAATGAAGTTTACAAATCAGTATACACTCAGGCAAGAATGGACTAAAAAATTTGGCCACATCACTGAGGACTGTAAATAATCCACTGTGTATTTAGGATCTAGAAAACTCATTTTCTAAGACTTTTATGATGAATACCCACATTACTGGTTTTTTTTGTAGCTAGCCACATACTTAATCGCAAAGTGTTTTTTATCTGTTTTGCCTGTTGCTATACTCACAGAGTATAGGAAAGTACCTGATAGGAGACGTGAGTGAAATTTGTTGAATATATGAGTGAATGCATTTCCATTTCATAAGAAAGAATTTGAATGGTTGTGTTTCAAAGAAATCTTGTGTTAATTGGTCAGGTTGTGCTTGGTACTTTTCTATGATGCCACAAACTTCATTATATTCACTTCTTTTGACTTTCATCTTACACAGTCTAATATATTCCATTTGAACTTCTTGTACCTTTAATACAGGTATAGCTATTCTGACTTAGTTCAGGTAGAGCTCAGAAGTCTTTCATTTTAATTTTCATGAGTGTAGCACTGCTTTATCCTTTAGTCTTGATTTTTTTTATTAGTATATGTGTGCAGTACGTAAAGTTGTCATTGCTGGAATAGTTGGTCCATACACACAACACATCTTAATTTCTTCCTTATCCCTTTTCTTTCTTCTTCCTCCATTCTCCCTCCATCTTTGGATTCCCTTCTCATTTGAGAGAGATCTATCTTCCTACTACTATTATATAACTTTTATTTAGCTTTTTATTTATGATTTGCTTTTCTTACATAAGAGAAACCATGTAATATTTAAGCTTGTGTGTTTAAATTATTTCTTCTAACATATGGTCTCCAGATGCATACACTTTCCTACAAATGACTCAAGTTTATCTTTCTTTATGGTACAGTAGTATTCCATTATGTGTTGATTTAAATAATTTTTAGGAATATGCGACATCACTTCTAGAGTTTCTGTTACTTAGTCCCAGTATATGCTTTGATTATTAGAGTGTATTAAATATTTATACTTATTACTGCATTTTAAAATTTTGGCTTTACTGTTACATATTTTCTGTGGTTCTGAGTAGATTATTTTAATAGTTTAAAGTGCATTCTTTCATGTATTTTGAAAAAATGATCTGTAAGTTGAGTTATGTGTGTGTGATTCTTCAAAGTTTGGATCTAGAGTTTATAATATGCCCTCTTACCATAATCCCACTTGAATGAAAATGTTATGACTTCACACAATATAAGAAATTTACAATATTATAATAGTATTTACTCTCCCTAACCCTTTTGTGTTGTTGTCTTATATTTCACTTCAGTATATAACCTTAATGATATTTATCAGTTTTTTAAAAATTTTTGTTTTAAACAGTTGTTCTTCAAAGATTTTAAAGAGAAATAAGTTAAGATTTTATATTTTTTCATATATTTACCATTTTGTAGGGTTTTTATTTCTGCTCAGATTTTACCTAGAAATAGTGTGTCACTTGTCTGAATTCTTATAGCACATTTGGGATCATTTATATGTCATGTGTACCCTTACAATTGTCCATGTATATGTCAAATTTCCCCTGCCAATTTTATGTTATTTTTGGACAGTAGTCACCATTTTTACATTTTAACACTTCCTTATATCTAGCACACTGCCTTGCACAAAATGGCAATAATATATTTTTAAGTATACAGGGATGAGTTAAGTTTTTGTAAAAAAAATCTGGACAATGCAAAATTTTCTGTAGTCTGACAGGGCTAGGCTATATTATTACAGTTCACCACTAGATATTACTTTCTGTTTCATATTCTTAACCAAGAAATTTCTTGCCATAAGATTTAGCAAGTTCTGAAAATTGGAACTCCTATAGAATCACACTTAAACTGACAATTTTCAATATTCTTTGAAGTTAGTTACTCTCTAAAACAGAAGCATTCATAAAATTAAAATTTTTATCACCTTTTAGTTATATGCCAAAATTTAATATAGAACCAACTAATTTTCATTAAATTTTCTTTAAAAATTTAATACTGGCATTGTTTTAGAGTTATTCCTCCTGTAAAGTTTAGAACTAATCAAAGAAACAGTGGGAAGAAGTAGAACACTTGCGAACACCTTTAGACAAGTTCCGAGTGTGCTCTGTTAGTAGCGGATTCTGACAAAGCCTTACTGTAAAAGACTGACCCACCCTGGCTCACCACAAAGGAGTTTTCTCAAGGTGAGCTTTCACGACAGCTTCAGGTTTCACTCAGGTTTGTCAGAGAAAGAGGACTGAGTGGGCTGTGGAAAGAATGGAAAAGAGAAGGGAGATTCATTGACTCTTAGGCAATCATATAACATAGTAAAGTGGTGAGAATGAGTTTCCTTCTTTTATTCTCTTCTCTCAAAGGACAGGAAAGGGCAGGTCAGGGAGATATCATGCATCGCAGGTTTACTTGTGCTTAAGTGCCTAGAGTTTAAATCTAGCATCATAACCTGTATGCTTTAAAGATTAGATATTTCAGTGGATTCATCATGAAAAGCGAAGTCCAAGGTAAAGATTTAAGAGACCCACATTCCAGACAGATCCTTCAGGCAGAGTTAAAAGAGACCTCCTCTTGCAATACCTTCATGCATCAGACCTCCAGGCTGTAAGCCAGACTCTTCCCCGCCATCATTGCCAGGGAACAACTGATTATCCGGAGGAGTGATGACTGTTTTCTTTAGTTCACCCAGAATATTAAGATTTAAATAAAACAGCAGTGTTATTTCCTAATAATGTAATAAATCTCCCTGAAATGAACATCTAATCCAAGAATTTGACCATTCCTAACAATTTGCAGTCTTCTAGTATACTAACCCCAGCCTGTCATCTCACTCCAAAAATAACTATTTCTAATTGTTTCACTTATTATTATTTTCTTAGGTGTATAAAATTGGAGTTTTTAAAATTATGACTGTAATAAACTAAAATACCAACTAGGATGTTTAAATTCCACTTTATATTGGCCAGATATCATATAGTATAATATCAAAAATTAAATTTTTATCTCATAACATTTTGCTGCTTTATCATAAAACTTAAATATATATGTGTGTATTTTAAATTATATTGGCATAAAGGGAGTACTTTCCCTCCTTTTTTATGTTTTAGATTTTAGAATCTCATTCTCTGTGAAGTGATGTAGTAAGTGACAATTTGTTTTATGCGTAAATGATGTGGATGCTAAAAAATAAGTTGTCAGTGCTGCATCCTACATTAGTATAATCAGTAGTCAAGAGGTGCTGACAGTGTTACTTGCGTGTATTAATGATAACAATGCACTTTGTAATCTGTGCTTTTGCCTTCTGTTCTTTATATTGTTACAGCTAAAGAAGTAAACAGGTCATGGCACGTTTAACAAAAAGGCGACAGGCGGATACAAAAGCTATCCAGCATCTTTGGGCAGCAATTGAGATTATAAGGAACCAGAAGCAAATTGCCAACATTGACCGAATTACAAAGTAAGTAAATTGAAACAAAAGTATTCCATAAGATTTCATATAAGCCTTTGAAGAAAAAGTATAAAAGTACCATATCTTTTACTCTAATCATCTTTCTGCCTTACAGAAGTCTAAGAGTTGTTACACAATTATGTAAACAAGTACAAGCAACTTTTATTTAGAAGTAAAATATAAATATATCCTATTTTTAATATTTAACTTAGTTATAATTTTTTTATTCTTAAAAAGCTTTTAGTCACTTGCTTTTATGCAGCAAAACTTAAAAGTCCACTGTTCATTATTTTAATATAGAATGAACATCATCTGTGTAATAAATAGCAGTTTAGTAGCACATAAGCCACTAGCAGGTTTTTTAACAATGTCATTCTATATCAATGTCAATCTGTATTTTAGAAAATATGTTAAGTAAACATGCAGTTTAAAAACAAATTCTTTTTTTGCCAGATACTTTCTGATGCTGTTTACCTTGGTAGACAAAGATTCATGACAAGAACCCTGTATTTTTATATTATATACTAATTGTAAGTGTGTCTTTAGTGAGGTCCTTAATTTTGTTTTGTTACTTGTTTTGCTAGGTATTTTTAAAGAGAGAAAACTAAATTTATAATTTTTAAATGTTTGTGTGATTTTTTTAAACAAAAATTAGATACTGTTTCTTTATACTTATTCTTTCCTGTATCCATTAGATGAATTCTTTAGATTCATATATTCATTAGATGCTTTCTGAAAAATGAAAAACAGATAATTCATATATATAATCTCATATACATTTTTAGCCATTTTTAATAATATGATCCGTGTATTGTGGTGAAGAGTTAAAATGCTACATTAGAGGAAAGGAAATAGAAGATAAAGAGGGAGATGGCATGTTATTATATGCTTGTTCTTCAAGTACTTGAGAGTTGGCCTGGCTTTTATGGCATAGTAGAAGAAAGAAAAAAAAAGATAACACTAGGTGGAAAATAAAATCAACAGTACATTACCTTACTATATTTTTTTTAGAGAAAGCAAATAATTTGATTAGGGATCATGAGCAATTTATAGAGTCATATTCATATAAAAACTTTTTTAAAATTTTGAGCTGGAGATGCAGCTCAGTGATACAGCATTTGCCTAGTATGCATGAGGGCCTAAGATTAAGCTCTTGTGCCAAGGGCAAAGAATGTAAGACAAGAAGTATTTTCTTGTGATTGAAATTTTCATGAAACCATCATTTATGTATATCAAAATTATTTACACACAATGTTGAGATATTTTTAAGTTAAAATCAAGACTTGGGTCTTGACTGAACTTCTTTCAGTTTCTCAGACTATTATTTCTTTCTAATCTGTAGCATCCTTCTCTAGAAGCATTAGGGATATTTTCTTAAGGAGATACCAAATCTCACCGTACAAATGTTATTAGGTTGTAGCTTTCTGCTGGGAGTAAGGGAGTTAACTCCCACAATAATGGCTAGATAAGTCTGTCAGAGTAGCAGAACATCTGGATGTGTATACATGTGTACAAGTATTAAACTGTAGTCAGAAATGTAGAGATTATCACCGGGATTCCAAATATTTTCTCATTTTGTATTATGGATTGTTTGTAAATGCTTTTTTCTCCTTTATTAATAGATCCTTAAGTGATGCCAAGATTTATTTTCCTTTATATCTTAGGTTCATAGCTCTTAGATTAAATATGAATATGTATATTTATCCACCAGATAGTCATAGTTTTATTAGTCTCATCTGAAGCTGGAAAGGGATGAAGGAAGGAAGAAAAGGAGGAAGAAATAGAGGGAAGAAATAGAAGGAAGGTTGGTTGTTAAGTGTTTAAAAGTACTTCTCAGTGTTTCTTCTGCCTCATCTACAGGTTTGCAGTATTCGTTATTACAGTGGCTCACTTTGGCATCCTATACTTTGTTCATAGCATTAATCACATTTGTAATTATAACCCTGCTAGACAATCAGCTCCAAGAAGGAACTGTCTAGGGAATTGGCTAACCTCGTGCCTTTGCTTCTTATTAATGTTAATTCCCTTGCTTGTTACCTTTGCTTCATGTAAGGATATAGCATTGAACTGTAACAGGAAATGAGGTGTTTGCTATAAGGTCTGATGTGCTTGTTCTATACTTTTAAAAGGAAAAATACTCTTCAGGTCTTAGATTCATTTTAAATCCATTGCTCTGCATAGTTAAGAGTTGAATCTGAGCATATGGATGTCTTTTAAAGGTTAAAAATATCTTAAGTGGGCCGGGGATTTAACTCAGCGGTGTAAGCAGTGCCTGGCAAGCAAGAGGTTGTGAGTTTGATCCCTGGTACCAAAAAAGAAAAAAAAAAAAGAAAAGAAAAGAAAAAAAATATCTTAAGGTACTGGAGATTATAATATAGCTATTGTCAAGAATAAATCTATAGTTACTAAATTTCATTCTGTTTTGACTGGCAAATGACTCCATTATAAGAAAAGTGTAATAAAGACCATAGTTTCAGACATGCATTAAAAATTGTAGTTTTGAAGTAACTGCCTCTTCTCTTGGTGTATAAAACTGTCTAATTTGCCACCATGTTAGTTTGGTTCTGGTTTTCTCTTAGTTTATAGGTCTCTCATTCATGTTTTTTTTTTTTTTTTTTGTTTCCTTTGGGATTTATTTATTGAAGAAACTGGGTTATTTGTTTTATGGTTTTCTGGCATTTGCTGATCATTTCATTGTGGTGTGGTCAAACCTGTTACTTGGTCCCCTGTATTTCATGGAATCAACAGATCCTCCAGGCAGGGGTGGGGCGGGACTGTTCATAGGTGACGCTATGCCCTGTCAGTAGGCACAACATGGTTTTGTAATGTTTGCAGCTATTGATGCTAGATATAATAATTCATTAAAGCTTGGAAAATGGTAATAATTCATTATATTTTTCTTTGTTAGACTGCAGTACTTCTATAAGAATGTAATCTTCTCATTCCAACTATTTAGTTACCCTATAGGACAAGTAGTATTTCTTTTTGTGTATTAATTTAAAATAGCATCCTCCTTTGATATCCAATTAGATTTTTAAAAAGTGTTATTTGGATTACATGCATTTAAGTATAGTCAGTATTTTTGTGACTATTTTCTAGGTTATATGCATACCACTGCTTAGTTTTTATTATTTGGGACTTCCTTTAGTATTCTGGATTTTGTTTTTGTTTCTTCCATGTTTAATTGAGTTCATCTTTTTTAAAATTTTTAATTTTCTCTTGCTTTGCAACTTCTATTTATCTGTGATGGTGTGTGCTGTGTGTTTACTAGTGTGTAATTTCTAATTTAGAATTTATTTCTAAAGTGATTTCTTTTTTTTTTTTTTTTTTTTTTTTTTTTTTTTTTTTTTGGCGTTACTGGGGATCAAACCCACGATCTTATGCTTGCCAGGCAGGTGCTTATGCCGTTGAGTTAAATCCCCAGCCCACTAAAGTGATTTCTTTCATTTTTGCCAAACATTAACTTACTTCTGAGATTTCCTAATTTTGATTTATAGTTGTCATGGCTCATATCATTTTTAATGTGTATTTTCTTGTGTTTTGAACCAGTAGACTGTAGTTTCCTTCTGCTCTGTAGACCATATCTTGTGTGCTTTTGTGCTATCGATGTTATGTTCCTTTAGCCACAGTGCTTTTCCCTCTTGTCATTTTGATGTGTAATTAGTTTTTTTGAAGTTGTGTCAAGGAAATGTGGTTCTGAACACTTTTTCTAGATTTATAAGTCTGAAGCTTCTATTTTGCCACTTTTATGAATTGCCAAAAAATATGGCCTCATATTTCCTGGGGCTTTCTCTATCTTCCACCACTCTTTTGCCTTATCCTGAAAGTCTTTTTACTGACTTAGTTGTGCTAATGCTTCTGTTTCTGGCATTTTTAAAAAAAACATGGGTCTCTGTTTTGGAAGAGAACTTTAGCTGCTCAACTTGGAATATTCACAGCTCCTTTTTTTTCCGTTGACTCTACCATGAAATCATGAATAACAGAATCGTCTGCAAGTAGAAGCATGTGAACCCACTTTCCATGGCTCTTCTCAAATTGGCTATCGTGCTTTTCACTGAATACATGTCGGCTCTTTTATCCTCTATATGAAAATGCTCTCTTGTGTCACTGTTTCTTCCACACAGGGTTCAGTACCAATTAGGATTTTGTCTCTTGGAGATTTGTCTTCAGCTACCCAAGTTGTAAGATTAGCAAGACTCCTCATCATTACTTTTGTTGTATATGTTGTCCAGAGGTGTTTTGTTTTGTTCTTGAAATTTAAAGGCTATGTTATCTTGACTGTCTTCCCAGTTAACAACAGTCTTGTAATTTTTCTTCAAAGTCAACAATAAATAAAACAAAAACAGAAAACAGTTACTAAGGACACCAGATATTTTCTGAAGTCTAAAAGTGGAGCTAAAGGAAAAAAGAAATCCCTCTAACAAGACAGATCCAAGGGACTTTTTCATGTTTCATAATTCTGAATATACCAAAATCTTCACATCAGGGTTTCATCTTCAAACACAGAGTCTTTAACATGATAAGACTTGGAATTTTAGAAATTCTGTAAATAGAATTTGCAGCTTTTCAAAGCATTCAAGGCCTTCATTTTCATGGTTAATTGAACTTTTAGGGACTGATAATAATTTCTTTGTCTTTAACAAAGCAGAATTTACTTGTGTTCTAAATGTTTGTTCCACATAGTTCTGATGGTATGTAACTTTTAGAGTTTGTACAGATAATTCCCTGGGGTTGTCAGGATACTTCCCCACAAAATTCTGAGTCCATTTTATGACCTTTTTGAAATTCTTTTTCTCTCTTTATCTTCTAGTACTACGATATTCTATAAAGTGATAGAAAACCATTGCTGAGATTGAATATTTCAAATATTTAAAAAAATAATTAGAGAAGCTTCTTTAGTAAGTTCTCTTGGTCTGGTCTGGACAAATATTTTTACCTAAATGATGAGTATGAAATTAAAATAAGAGTTTATGTTTGAATTTTGATTAATGGTCAAGCTGGCTTTCTTATTTAAAGCTCCTGTTTATAAATTTGATTTCATACTATCTAATTCCATAGTTGTTCTCATTTGAGACTTCAGGAAGCACAAAGACATTTTACAGTTTTAGAACCTGAAGAATGTTTTGTGATGTTTAAGCATCATAAAATTGAAGCAAATGATTCATCATAAAGGAGCAAATACAGTAGTCAGTTTTGTTTGCTTATCTGTAAAGATAAGCAAGAGAATATGTTCTCTGTTCAACTCAGAATGCTTTGAAATGCTAAATTATAGCTGATACATAGGAATCTGTCAATTTTATATAATTTAAGTAGGTGTTACTATAATAAAGCTTTGAAATATTTGGTTACTCAAAATTTAAAAAAATACTTGTATGTTTAAGATCATGTTAGCCCCTATTTTAGTTTTAAAAGCAAAACACAAAGGATGAAGAATCACATAAAATGAATTTAGCAACACTAGGAGTCTCAGTGATTCATAACTCATTTTTAAAATGGTGTCTATGTTTTAATATTGAATAAAAGAAATTATAGATATTTCCTTTTCCCTTTTAATCTGAACAGTGGTTTCATATCTAAATTAGATAATAATAACATGGCATTAGAGGTTCACAGTTATTCCAAGTAGTGGTTATGAGATAGTTTAAAGATGAGCTGAAGTAAGTGTGGATTTTATTTTAGTCTCTAAGGCATTATTGGATAAGAAGTGTGTTTGGAAGAGATAAGTTTCCTTTTGTTGATGACTGGGAAAAATGATGGAAATAGTTGCTCTTTGAGTTTCTTTTCTGTTTTGAGCAAATTTGATTTTGTGTTTCTGGGGTAATAATTGTAACAATTAATGTTAGTAATGGTAACATGACTGAACTAACATTGCATTGGCAGACTAGTCCCTTTCAAGTTAATATTTCAGATTAGGGCAGCAATTAATTACATGTGTCACTTACTTTAGGTTCAAATTCCAGTTAAAAAATGTGACCTCTGACCTCTTGTGACATGTTTGGCATTGATATTTCTGAGTTCTTCTGGAATTCTTCTGTGACTTCAGACACACATAAGCCCAAATTGTAAGTTGTCTTTGTGTAGATTGCCTTTGAAGTACAACTAGGTACACATTATTTCTTTACTTACTAGATTTAACTTTATGAACCCCAATTTCAAATTGTATATTTTACTTAATTTTTTCTCTCTGGAAACTTAAATTTTTCTCTCTAGCAATTTCTATTTCCTTGTGAAAATTAGAAGGAGAATGATCATTGCCTGTGTAACTGTTTTAGAAATATGCTAGTATAAACAACTACCCATTAATATACTGCTCATGTAATCCCAGGCGTTCTTCACAGGATTACCTATTGTATTCTCATTTCATTCTTTCCTATTTATTGTATTTATTAGTGAAGTAGGTTGACACGTATACTTTGTCACTCTTAATCATTATTTGTTTCACATAATGATAGTATTACAGAAGAAATAACTGATTCATAGTAACTATAATCTACAGTGTCTATTTTTCAGATACCAGATTCCTATGGCATTCATTTTGCCTTGGCTTTGTCTGATTGTGTGTGTTTGACATTTCTTTGGCAGTCTGTGAAGGAAACAGCAAGGCATATAAAAATGTAAATAATCATTAAGGAGTAAAAACAGTATGAAATAAAGTTATGAGTATATTTCAGTTCCACATGATTAGTGCATATTTATTTATAACTTTATGAGCCTTCTTTGAAAGAGTCACAGAATGAGTTTAAAGGTCTCGCAGAAACTGAGAAGAAAGTCAAAGGTAAGACTGTCTGGATCAAATAGGTGGACTGGAGAGTTGGAAGGGAAAGTGTATGAAGGGTAGAGTAGGAGGGTCTTAACTGCCAGCATTGAGATTTTTATCATGTCACTAGAGAACAGCAAATTTTTTTTTAATTTTAAGAGGATAAAATCAAGGAAAATTAAATAAACCAATCATAACAAACCAGGTGATACAGAACTTCAAAACAATACGAAATCTACAGTAGTTATCATACTACCTCTTGTTGTCTTCAGAATAGCTACAGATACCTTTAGACATAGTAAAAACGAACAGAACAGAAGAGAATCAATAAGACCAAAACAATGAATGCAATAAAGGACTTCAAGACAAGAGTAAATCCAAAATGGCTACTATAATACATCTTGCTGTGTTTGTTGTCCAAGCTACCAGATATAATAATATCAATCAAAACAAAACGGAATAAAACCCAACCCAACAAAAAAATGAAAATGATACAGGACTTCAAAACAAGATAATAGGGAGTTAACAAAGGCTACCCCCTTCAGAAGGAGATCCCCCAAAGATACTACACTGTGTACCATTAACTTCTGAATAGATGGTCAGAGGACAGGCTCTAGACCTGCAAAGTCAGTGAAACACCAAACACCACAAGCATCAAATTGCATTTTACCTCGATAGCTATCATCAGAGCCTGTGTTTCTCCAGATCAGCTGGTTGCTTTTTGGGGGGTGAGAGATGGCTCTCTTCTTGTGTCCCAGCTCATGTGCTAGCAGGGACTGGGATCTGGCAGTCCCCTGGCAGTGGCAACCACATATGGTGCTGGTTTACAGAAGGCTTGCTTCTTGGTGAATCCTTGTTCTCCCTCCACATCCCCCACCCCGCAGTCCCCAGATGGTGGTGACTCATAGGGAAAGGCTGGGATCTGGCTGTCTCACCACTGCCACTAGTTCACAGGGTTCTCTCTCCCCACAGTCCACAAATGGCCTACCATGTGTTTTTAAAATTTGAAAATAAAAACACACTTTTCTTTCTCCCCGTCTAGATTGAAGGGTTCCCTTAAGTGTGTCTTGAGTCTATCTGTTTCTCCCTAATCTGGCTTGAGTTTTTAATCTTACAATTTTCTACCTTTCCTTCCCAGCCCTTCATCTTTCTCCTTTCTGTTTTCCATCAGTGATGTCAGATTTTTCCAAAATTCCATGTTAATTTGTAATACTTTTGTTGCTCATGAATCCACATATGAACACCATCTTTATCAAGTGGCTCCACTGTTACATTTTTGTTGCCCATGAAGTCTATGTGCAAAGGTGTTATTATCTCAGACTGCCTCTCTGCATTACCTCTTCTACTACTTCCACACTGCACTGCAGAAGCACTGGGATCACTGCCTATGGTGCAAACTTTCTCAGACTCCTCTTTGAATTGTCATCTCTGAAGTATCACAGTTTATCAGTTCTTTCTCTCTGTTTTTCTTTCTCCTTCCTTTCTCTCTTTCTTTCTTTCTTTCTTTCTTTCTTTCTTTCTTTCTTTCTTTCTTTCTTTCTTTCTACTAGGGATCAAACTCATAGTTAACCAGGCAGGCACTAAACTCCTGTCCCTATCAGTTAGTCTTCTAAATTTTAAGTATGATTGTGTTCTTCATAAGGGCCTTTTGATTTTCCCATTGTGTATAAAATGCACCCAAGCAGGACATTTTTTTTTAAATAAAAGTTTTCCCACTTAAATCCTGATGTTTCTTATTTTCATGCCTCCATTTGATGAGACTATTCTCCATTGTCTGAGCACATTATAGATTCTTCATTTTATATTTTTCCTTCACTTATGGATAAGTCAAACTTTTTAAAGATCCAAGTCATATATAATCTCTTGAAATTTTGATACATTCTTTATTTTGAACAACCCCATCCTTTTTTTCTCTTTGCTTCTGAAATAATATGTTAAATTTTAGTTTTATCAGTTACTGAAAGTGCCTATGATTTTTGAAAAATATTGCTGCTGCTTTTGTTGATTGGCAGTACCTTAAGTATAGAGAATATATTTATCCTATCTTGTCTCTGTGGATTAGTGTGAAGAATAGTAACATTGTAGCTGAGGCATTTATAATAATATTCAGGCTGAGGATACGGTTTAGTGGTACAGCACATACCTATCATGTACAAGAGCCAGGGTTCAGTCCTAAGAACCAAAAAGAATATGGTGGCCGCAGCTGCTGAGGATGAGTGAGGCTTCCAACTTACTGTACTCATCTGTGAGGTAGTGGGCTCCGACGGTAGCGAAAACGCAGCCGGTAGATTTGGGTCTCCTCGAGGTGGATGATGAGTTTGAGGAGTTCCCTGCTGAAGACTGGGCTGGTTTGGATGAAGATAAAGATGCTCATGTATGAGAAGATAACTGAAATGATGACAATGTAGAGGACAATCTCTCCAATCAGTTACCAGCTGAACTAGAGAAACGAAGTTATAAGATGCAGACTTCATAGCATCCAGAAGAAGTATTAAAGTGCCCTCAATTTGAACTGTGTACTAAATTATACAACAAGTATCCCAGAATAGAATGCTTTTAAAAATGTTTATTTGATTATTTATTTGAATTTTTTATAACAAAAATAAATGTTTTGGTCTTAAGGGGGAATGGAGGGCAGGAGGGGGACTAGTGGGGAGAGGAGTGTAATAATAACAATAAAAATAATAGTTGTGTTAACCGCACAAGTGATTTCAAGGATGTTCATAATAATTGATAACTTTAAGTGCTATTTTGTGATAAGACACAATACTGCAAGGTATGTGATCCATGTTGTTGATGAAGATAATGAAATTTAGGTAAAAGAAATTGCTTGAGGTCACACAGGTTGTAGGAAAGAGAAATGAGATTTGAATGTAGGTCTATGTAATATTGTAGTCTTAAGATTTTAACCATTAAATGTTCTCTTCTGGTATTTAACTGATTTATACTGTTATTTTGGTTAGTTTTCTCTTGTTGGTGAGAAAAAATGCCCGATGCCCAAAATTAAAGAAGGAAAGGTTTCTTGAGCTCACAGTTTGTGGAGGTTTCAGTCCTTAATCAGCTAGCTCCCAGAGGGGCAACTATTCATGGCAGTGGAAGATAGCAAAAGCAACAACAGCAAAAAAGGGAGAACAAGCCTCTTTTCCTCCCTTGTATTGTATGCAGGCTAACTGCTCTCTGGTGGTTATAGCACTCACACCAGCTCTGTGTCCTCCTCTTGCACAGGCTCACGATGTTTACACAGTGAGAATGCTGGCCTCCTAAGTTGCTTAAACTTCTAAACTTCTGAAGTTGACACAGAGAACAACACTGTGGGAAAGTAAGGGTATGTCTTAGGGTAGTAAGGGTATATCTTCCACACCCTAAGAATGTAGAACTGCTGAGTTACTTAGTTAAGCTTCTGAACTTCTCAAGTTGACAAACTGTATCAACTGTTACAGCTGTATTCTTGCAAATTTTGAAATTTTAAAACAATAATCTGTACAATGCTTACACATTATCTCATTTCCTCTTCACAAGTCTTAAAGTTAAAATTAGCTGTACTTTTTAGGTGAAGAATAAGCAGCTGTAAGAATACAGTAAATTGTCTCAGATTATTGTTAGAATTAGGAAGAACATTGTTTTTCAATATATATTAAAATAAATGCATTGATTCAATGATACTATTCAATGATACTATTTAGGTTTTGAAATTTATTACTTTTTGATCAATGCAATTTTTAAAATAAAACATTTATTTATCATATTTATCTATAAAGCAGCAAGTGGTAGAATATTATTTAAAAAATTATTTCCAAAAGCAATGCCAGATGAGAATACTTGGAAAATATCAAACAATAACTGCCTACAATTTTTCTACTCACATTCAAATAATCATTTTCATAGATGTTTTCTCAATCATTTGTATATGCATGTTTGTTATTGCAGCATGTTACTTTCTATATAATTATATGGTTACCATAAATTATTTGTAATGATTGCACACCATTCAATGTAACAAAATTCTAGTATACTTTGAAGGACAGGAGGGAGAGCACAATAAATGAACATTTAATATAAGATTTACACTACATTATCTTATTTACCCTCAAAATAATTACATGAGCTTGATTTTATTAATTTCATTCTATAGATGTGCAAACAGAGATACCCAGATGTTTGGTTAGTGGTCCAGAGTCATGAAGCTGGTAAGTTGTAGCGCTGGTACTTGAACAAAGATCTCAGTGACTTCACAGGCTATGCATTTCCACTGTATTTTATGTTAGCTCCACATGCCCAATGCTAAATTCTTATTATAATTCTAGGTGTTCCAATTATACAAATACCATTTATGTAAAATAATGAAGTGAAAATGTAAGCATGTCAGGAACCATGTATTTAGAACTTACTCAGTGTAAGGCACTGGACTAAGTACCTTATATTCATTACCTTACTGTAACCCTGTTGGTGAGTATTACACTTACCTTTTTAAATCATCATGTTGCCATTGCTAAATTCTAGAATTTGGGGGTTTTTTCAGCTTTTTTACTGTTCCATATCTTCATGCATCATAATAAATGATAGCATTACCCAACTCTGTACTACTGAAAATAACATTATTTCCTTGTTGACATGTAGAAAGAGTTCATTAGTATTAGTATGTCCAGAAATATTTCCTTCTTGTTTATAAATATGCAGATACTTAATTTGACTGAGCCAGTGATGGCTTACCTATGGCATGTAAGCTGCAGTGGGTTGTTTGTTATCACTGAAAGCTCTAAAAAGACCTAACCTCTTGTGAAAGGCTACCCTGGTCTACATGTTTATTTGCAGTGTGTACAAGGCTTTATTGTCCTATACATCAGCTGCGTGCCATTGACATTGTTGATTTACCCATGTTTTGTCCCACAGATTGATATTTTGATTTTCATTTTTGCATTTGTTACTGAGTTTCAGTAAACCTTAGTGTCCTTAGACTTCCTTTTCTTTAGGTTCCTGTCATGATCTTCTGCTCATTTCCATTGAGGTTGTTATTTTTTTCTGTTGATTTGCAGAAGCTCTTTTTATTCTCAACATTCGTTGCTCACAGATTTTTTTTTTCAGAATTGCAGGGTACTGGGGGTTGAAACTTGCTTCTTTATACAGAGCTACATTCCTGTCTTTTTCTATTTAATTATTTTAGCTTCAACAGAACCTCACTAAGTTGCTAAGAGTTTAGGCTTCTACCTGTGATTCTCCTGTCTTACTCTGCTGGAGTGGTGGGATTATAGGTGTGTGCCACCATGCCACCTCATACCTGGCTTTTGCATAGATTTTATACTTTGTAACGTGGTGGGGGGTTTTTTGTTGTTTTTTTTTTTTTTCTCTCTCTCTCTCATCTGTCTACCTTTCTCATTCTTTATTTAACAGAAAAAGTTAGCTTTGGTATCAGCAGATTAAATCTCTTTTTGTCTAATGTTTTGTGCATTTGAAGTTTTATTTAAGAATTCCTTGTTCTTAAGAAAGCTTCAAGAAAACTTCCTTTTTTTCTTTTTAAATGAGCTTTTATGTTCTCACACTTGAAATCTTCCCTCAGCCTCCCAAGTAGCTGGGGTTATGGCCTATGTATGCCACTCTGTCCAGTTTTCCTACTGTTTTTTTTTTTTTTTCCCTAACTGTCTTAGTTACTTTTCTCTTGTTGTTAAGACAAAATACCTGATGCCTAAAATTAGGGAGGGAAGGTTTATTTCTTACAAATTTTTAGGTTTTAGTCCTTACTCAGCAGTGCTCCAAGGCAAGATGACATGGCGGAGCCACTGTTCATGGCCCCTGCAAAACAGCAAGAGTGAACCACACAAAAAGAGAAGAGACATGCCTTCTTCCTGCCCTTATGTCAGCTCCTGCCCTGGGCAGGTGCAGCACTCACATCACCAATCTCAGCACAAGACAACAAACCAATCACAAACTCTAGATTCAGCCACATCCATGATTGCATGAGGCTTGAGGGGACCATCTGAACACAAACCATAACACTAACCTTCTAGTTTTACCTTGCACAGGTCTTTAACCTAGCTTTTTGTTTTAATGAGATAGTTAAGGATCTAGTTTTAATTTTTTTGTGTTCAGGTATTCCAAGATCTGAACACTCCTGGTCCCAAGCATTTTGGATAAAGTATACTCAGTCTTTGTTCTTTTTTATGATTAGCTTTTCTTGGTCAGTAATAGTTTTGGTTGGCCAGAGTGTTTTGAGATTTGTTTGCTAAGTATATTATTGGTAGTCCATATCTTTTCATTATGGAATACTAATCCATTGTATAGCTATGCCATAATTTTTTTAAATGTATGTATTGAGGAACATTTGGTAACTATTGTGACAAAAGCTACAACATGCTTTCATATGCAGGAATAGGCATATCTTTGGATAAATTCCTAGTAATGGAATTGCTAAGCCATATAACAAATATATGTATAACTTTACTAGAAATGACAGGCTTTTTAATCCAAAGTAATTGTATTATTTTACATTTCTACCAGCAATATATGACAATTCTAAATTGTCTGCATTCTCTCTAACACTTGCTATTATCAGTCTTCAGTCATTCCATTGTCTGTGTTAACATTCCATTGTGTAAATTTTCATCTCCATGTTGACAGAAGATATTAAGCATTGTCTAATGTTTTTATTTACATTTATGTATTCTTTTACAAAGTATCTTTTGAAATCTTTTGCCCATTTTTTTATTGAATTGGTTTGGATATAATTAGTAATAAGTGTCATTGAGCTCTTAGTCTATTGTGAATGGAAGTTCACTGACTTCACTGTGTATAGTATAATATGTATAGAACTGTATGTGTCATTCTAGGAGAAGATAGTAGAAGATGCCTTGTCAGCTTTTCACTATGACCAGATACCTGACATATGCAACCCAAAGGAGGAATGGTTTATTTTGGCTCCTTGCCATGGTCAGCTAGCTCCGAGGCAGAATATCAAGGCAGAGGAAAGTTGCTCACCTTGTGCCTGGCAGGAATGAGAGTGAAGGAGAAAGAGCAGAGTAGAAGGGCCCCATGGCAAGATACACCTTTTCAAAGGCAGCTCATAATGGATTGGTCCATGAGGTTGATGCCTATAATCCAGTTATCTCTCCAGTTATCTCTTAGTCCAGTCAAGTTGACAGCCAAGGTTAACTGTCTCAGAATAGGTAAGAATTAATATTTATAGAAACGTTGGCTAACATTTTTATGAAATTATTAAAAGATACTAATATTCTTATTTGGGAAACTCAAGGGAAAGCAAATTATGGCACTTAACCATATGATAGTGAAAACTACAGAATTTATTAAAATAAAGAAAAAGTCATAAATATAACCAGAAAGTTTTTTACAAAAATATCACGGATATAAGTATGGTATTTAGTCTTCTAGCTGACTTCTTAACTGCAATGCTAGAACCTAAATGGAAGTGGAGTAATAGCTTCATTGTATACTAAGAACATAATCCAGGCATAGTGGCGAACATCTTTAGGTCTAGCTACACATAAGACTGAAGCAGTAGGATGGCAAGTTCAAGGCTAGCCTGGGCAACTTAGTGAAACCTTGTTTCAAAATCAAAAAATAAAAAGGGCTGGGATTATAGTTCAGTGCTCCCTCCTTCAGTTCCAGGTATTGCAAATAAATAAAAAGTAAGTAAATAATGTTAAGTAATAGAACATAAGTCTCAGCCTACTATTATTTGTCTTTAAAGGAAATTTAAGGTTTTTTTGTTATATTTTATTTGTAAAATAAAAATAAGAAAGAATAAATCCTCAGTGGTTTACATCAGGCCAGAAAATGTTTCAAGTGACAGCTCTGAAAAGGAAAAAAATAAATGAGCAAAAATTTGATAAATATGTGGACAAAATTATAGCATTACATATACAAAGTAAAACTAATATTCAATATATGAAAAAAATTAAGCTAGCACAACTGAAGCAACAACAGCAGAATCTAGAAACAATATAATCATCAGCCATAGACTGAATACTCATGTGCTCATATAACAGGGTATTATACTTATGTAAAAACAAACTATAGTCTTATACTGCAATGTAGATTACTCAAAAATAATGTAGAAAAAAGGAATCATATTACAAAGAGTACATGTAATATGCTTCCATTTCTGTAAAGTTCCAAATAAGGCAACAATAAGCATGTTTTTAAGGGAAGTATATACACAGAACATGAGGGTGAAGATAAGAGAAAGTAGTTCAGGCAAAATTAAGGTT